ATCGTCCACCCACTGTGCATCTAGCAGTTGCATATCGGTATATCGGTGGTGGTAGTTCTCGTCGTTGCCGACGTCGTCGTCCTCCTGCCTCGACGACGAAACACGAATGGCCACGAATTTTTATTGTTACTTTTCGCCCGTCTCCCTTTTTTATGCACTTTTTTAACGATCTCCCAGCCTGCAGCTGCAGCCGGGGCTCCGTTCGAAAATACGTACGCTCGCCCGAGACGTCCTCCTCGCTTCTTTCCTTTTATATGTCCCTTCATCCAGGTACCACCCCCGCCCCCTTCTCCCGTACCTTTCTCACTTCCCCTCTCCCTTAACTTCCTTCCCTCAGTTCGCCCCGTCCTTCCACCGGACTCTGATGTCTTCCAGGCGTTTCCACTTTTTATGGTCCCGATTATACGTGCCCCGGGCCGTATAACGTCGTCTTCGAAAAGCTCCCCGGTTACGCCTGTACAGAGTAACGGGTATTTACGCGGCTTCGGCCGCTTACCGTGCTTTATGGCTTCGATTATTTTTCATATATAAAACATAAGAATGAGACGCAAAGAATTATCACGATTTTATTATCTCAGATCATCCTACAGTATCCTACTTGTCATTTATCATTTTTTTAATTTTTCAAATTTTTCCTAAATCTACCCATCCAAATTTCGCGTCTCCGATCGCCTTGGGCTTTTTTCTTTTTCTTCCTACACTCGGTACACCTATCGTGTAAGTTCTCAACGTTTTGAGACCTTTCCTACTCGACGCACACGTGTTTACGGATTTATACGTGTGGGTGACACGGCGGTGGGAGAAGGGTTGGTGGGGAGGAGAATACGAAGGGAGGGAGGGAACGACTGTGGAAGCTGTGCAACGTGCGAACCGTTTGAGACGCAAAGGCTGCACTTCGCACCACGAGCCATAGGTATGTCTCATTCGATTTCAGTTAGAGACTCGTGTCGGATTTGAAAGTAGCGTTACATTCGGTGATCGATATTACCGTATTTTTTATTTTATTTTCATCGTTCGACTTGTCGTACGTACGAGTGACACCAGTGAGTATCAACGAAATATTTCATTGTGCCAGTTAGATTTTAAGCTGTCAATTTACCTAAACGAACGCACGTTATATCCAGGGTTTTGGATGTAAAAAAATATCATGAATTTTACAGCCTGCGAATCAGCCGTCCGACATTCTCGTCGCAGCCACTACGACGCCGCTGATTGAGTCCCGACGTCGTTTGACCGTCCAGCACAGATCTCCGGGAAGGAGAATCCTTCTCCCTCCGATCGGAACCTCCATCACGCGTCATTGTTCCACGTTAACGGATAATCAGAACGAGCCGACCGGCATCTCGGTACGACGACACTGCCTTCATCTTTCGACGCAATTTCCCGTCCACCTTGTGCCGAGCACCGTCAAGCTAGTCGGATCACCAGACTCGAGCGCGATAACGTGTAATCACTGTTAAGTGGTATTATAATCAGACGCACAGAAAAACTTTCACATTTAATTTAAATTGTCACATTTTATAAGTCTCGTCGTCTCTCCACTTGCGTCACAAGGTACTGGATATATCACGTTGATTATACAGTCGGATTACTTACACTCCCGTTTTTCAATATATTCACCCTGTAGAGAACCCTTTAACTATCGATATACCCTTGTCTAACGGTATCACGTCGGCCGTTCAGCCAACCATCAGATTTCCATTTCGTCCACACGTGCATATAAACACAATGAGATTTTCAATGTACCGTGTAATACACTTGCGTATTCAAATTTTGAGACCAACTTTTTGTTTAACCAACCACTTCAAGGACCAACGAACTGTCGGGCCCCAGCGGCGGGACGATTTACGACACTTCTGACCAACGGATCAAAAAGGTCACAAAAGCGTCACGACGCCTGCACGCACACCCGCGCGCGAAACGTGCTGCTGAAGCGAGACGTTGAATGGTACGAGGAGGGCGGGGGGGATGAGCAGTGGCCCATGGGGAGGGGTAGGCCATGTCGCCCGTGGAAGCAGGGGGAAATTCAGGGTGCTTTGGGGTGGGGACGTTACCCGAGGAGTTGGAAGTGGGAAAAAGGAGAAGGGAGCAGGATCGTGGATAGTAGGAGTTTGTTAAGGAGAGAGAGAGAGGGGGAAGAAGATGGAGGAAGGAGGAGTTGAGGGGAGGTATATAGGGGACTTAGATTGGTTTGGGTGTACGGGGATGCGGGGATGCGGGGGGGAGGGGGCGAATGTCGTAAGAAGAAGAAAAGAAGGTTTCGGGCGGCGGCCGGGACGGCTGGTTGTCTGTGGTCAAGGCACGCAGCTTGTGCAGTATTCTGCGCGCCTGACGCCCGAACGCCGCGGCGGCGTCGTTGGCAACGGCGTCGGCGTCGACGGCAAGCTACACCAGGGACGAATGAGAGGGGGTGGCGAGACACCCCGCGCGCCGCACGTAGAAACCGTTACACAGCCTGATTTTCCACCCTTTCGCAGTCGTCCGTATTAATGCAAACGTAAAATTTACCTCGCGGCGCCAAAATGTCGCCGATTTTACGGCGTTGCGTTAAATTCTTTATAAATATTTGCAATTTAATTTTTCCACAATTTTTCATATACCGCTATCATCGGTGCAACGCTATCATCTTTACAACCCCTCGGCTGTTACGTGGATACTACGTAAAATGTCATATGTATGTCTTTTCCACAATTCGTATATCCTTTGTTTTTCATGTTTAATTTTTCCATACAGCCACGTGCCACCTGGATTGATAATAATTTGTGTAAAATAATTATTTATCCGAAAAAATACTAAGCATCCTACTACACGGGCCCGACCCTTATTCGCGCGAGGTAGGGATATTGTATATAAAGGGACTATAGCCTTATGGAGCCATAGGTTCCTTTATGTCGGGTATTGTTTTTCATCGAGTTCCTTGCGCAACGAGCTATTTCAGCGGGTACCCTCCCGTCTGGGCACAAAGGCAAGCCCGTGAATTTGGAACCGCCTCTAGGCTGTCTTCCCCTTGTGAGAGTTCACCGCCGATTCACGGACGCCACGAGGCAAGGATACCCATCGGCACATACACCCCCTGTACCGATCAAGAAGTACCAAAGACATGTAAAAATGTATAAATTAGACTTTAACCAAAAATAAAGTATCGGATGATAAAACAATAATAATGAAAATATGCTCCAATTACTAGAGTCTAGTGAGAATCGCAGTAGATACGCCCGGTATATATATATATATATATACACGTATACAGTCAGTCAGGACTCAGTGTTCCAGCTCGCAACAGGTCTCACCCACAGTGTACTTTATCGCACACAGATCCCTGTACGGGATACTCTCCGTATATAGTCACGTATATATCTACATATATCATACACGTGCATCTACTATATAGCGATATCAGCACATGTATATAATAACTCTCTCTATTTTCCTTCTCCTCCTCATTTCGTCACACGTCACACGAAGTCCTTTCAACACGCAGTACAGACTGCGGCACGCACCGTCCTAAACGCAGAGAGCAAGCTCTGTGACGTAACGTGACGTACGATTAAAGAAAAAGAAAAAATGATGGACCAGAGCCGTATACGCGAATAGGACGTTGCGAGAGGAACGAGGATGAAGAACTATAATGAAGAAAATGAGGATTAGCAGAGACAAGTAGGAAACGTCATGAAGAAACGTCACATCGAGAGACACGTGGCGCACGGCGCGAGCGGCCCGCGGGACAGCAGCGGAGTCCGAGCCTCTAGAAGTAATTCTACTCACCGACAACGAAGACCATATTCTTTGTCCATCGCAGCAGCTCCCGTCGAATGTGCCTGCGTTCCTGTATGCAGCGGGCATAGGGGCAATCCGCCATTTTTGAAATCACATCTTAGGGATGTATATGTGTGCCGGCCGGGTGCGCCTGCTGCCTCGTGTTCCCGCGTGGATACGAGCGCACGCTCTCTCCCTCTCTCTCCCTCTCTCTCTCCCACTCCCACTCTCTCTCTCTCTCTCTCTCCAGCCTCTTCTCCGTATATACTCCTCCTCTCCGTCAGTCCGTTCAGCTTCCTTCCGTCCTTCTTTCTCTCCGCTCTCTCTCCCTCTCCTGCTCTCTCGCGCGCTCTCTCTCTCTCTCTCTCTCTTGGGCGCCTTGATGCTGGAGCTTCGCGGCTCCTGGTGCCGGGGTAGAGGCTGATAGCTCGTCCGTGCGTGCGACGAGGAGCATGCGTGAGAGAGCGGGCAAGGAAGTGCAGCAGCGGCGTCGTGACGACGCACGTGCGTGTACGTAGGCGTCGGGACGCTCGTGTGTCGATGGACACGATGCGACTCGTGTCGGGATATATGGGCGCTCCCGTGTGTACGTTTTGCCGTTGGGCGTTTGTATGTGGAGCCGGTGACGTCACGCGTGACGTAGCGTGCGCCAAGAGTAGCGGCTGGTAAGGCTGGAAGGGATGTCGCGTTGTCGTCGTCGTCGGTTTCGTCGACGACTGGGAAGCGTGGAGGGGGAAAGGACGCCGACGCCTGGTGGGGTTTTCGGACGCTGGTAATAGTAGTGCCAGCGGTAGCAGTTGTCGTCGTAGTAGTTGTGGCGGTAATGGTAGTGGTAATAGCAACAGCGGTGGAGCAGTGGTGGAAACCTCAGAGGGGGTTGACGTGCCGTGCGAGTGGGAGCGAGTACGGAGTGGGACTAGTGGAGGACGCAGCACTCACTAGGAGTGGGACAGGGTTAGGGCATAGGAACGCACACACGTGGACGCTTGCGCCCTGAGTGCAGTCTGTCGCCGATGCACGAGCCCTCTCCTCTCTCCTCTCTCCTCTCTCGTTCGGCCTCTCTCCCTCCCTCGGGCCCTCTCGCGCTTCTCCCGCGTCCGCGAATTTCGAGGGACGCTTTGCCTGAAGGCGTCCGGCGGACTCGCTGGCAGGAGACTGTCGGGGCCACCTGAAACCAAAAGGGGGTAGGCGTCTGGTGAGACATGTATATCGTATCGCTACGCTCTAGACATTCAGATTCATTCTCGATTAGGTTAGGTTAGGTTAGGTTAGGTTACAGGTATCCCTCGTTCTCTCGGGTGATGCCCGCTCGGGGTTCGAGGGTTCCTACGTAAACGCATCCCTTGCTCATAACGGAGAGTAAAGGCGGTACACAATCCGCGACTACGTACACAGTGTGTTATTTTTAGGGATGACCCGGGGAGACTGATATCTGGCACTCCTCTTACCCTTGTCGCGGGTTCTTCGGCCCCACCCCGAAACAGGAAGGTACTTCTTAAAATGAAACATTGATGTCCATAAGACGAGTCTAAAGGGTGGCGGAGCGGCCGGAGTAGAAGGGTGTTGAGAAGGCGGTAGGGTTGGCGGGGCGGTTAGTTCGGGAACTCGTGGACGAGGGGCGCCAGGGGCGGGCATCGCGTAATACGGGGATGGGAGATTGAGGGAAAGAGGAGCAGAGCGCGCCTAATATGCAACAAGAGAAAAAGAATTGGCGATCAATAGGTAGTAGCTGGTAAGCGTCCTTTCATCCGCCCCTGCGCCCTCGTCCTTTCCACCTGCCCTGCCCTTGCACCTCTCCCCTGCACGACACCCACCCCCGCCCGTCCCTGTACTCCTAGCAGAATTCAACCTCCTCAACCTTCTCCAGCCCTAGCTACTACTACTACTGATGCTGTTGCCAGTGCCTTGCCCTTCCTCCCCCTCCCCGCCCCGCCGATTCGCGAACTCGATCTTCTCCTCCATCGCTACGTTTCGCGAACGGGACACATCGAAGCCGCCACCACCGCCACCGCCACCCGCCACCCGCTACACCCACCAACCTAAACTAACTCCGCCGTCAACTGCCACCTACGAGAAGAAACTGATTAAATCCCAGCAACATGTAAAGAACCGCTTACGGCCCAGTACCGAGATTTCCCTGGGACTTGTTAAACAGTCCTAGGAACTTTTCACTAGGATCCAGAATCGATATAGGGATATTTCACGATTGTAACCTTATCGCGAATAACACTCTACGGTTCTCCTTATGTACGTTCTGACTCTGAAGTACAGAGAACGCGTACCGTCATTGTTACTTTCTTATCTCCTGCTCTTAGTCTCCGTCAGCCTCATACCCTTTGCTCGACTGTTTCTTTTATTCCCAGAGGTGGTAGTAGGCAGGGGCTGCGATCGATACCGAATAGTCGCGCAACTCGTAGACTAATTTGGCGCTGACTAATTCTTTAATTGTGCCCTCCTCGAAATGCTCGAGGGCGTTTTCTTGCCGTTCGCTCTTTTTTTTATTCTCTCTCTCTCTCTCTCTCTCTCTCTCTCTCTCTCTCCCCGCCACGGTACATCCTACTCCCACTCGTTATCGCCCCAATCCCCCTTTCCTCTCTTTGCTATCAAACAATCGAGGGAAACTGTTGTTTACACTGTCCAAGTGCTCCTCTTCGTGGTACCTGCGCGCGGATTCGCGACGATAACGACGTTAATGATGACATTAGCGGATGGCCGCGCGAATGCCGGTAAATTCAACGGGTAATAATAGACGGTTAATTCGCGGCGGGGAACCCGCTAAAATTAAAATAGTCCTACCATCCAACCGAGCGAGCGAACGACTCAAGGAGGAAGTGAAGTCCTCGTTTTCTCTGTTAAAATCGTTTAATTTCACCGATTAATATACCGTCCAGTAACACGGACGACATTACGAATAGATTGAGGTTACACGATAGCCCAACGCCTAGATCGATTCTATCCTCGTTCACCGTTATTACGTATAACGTCATACGTAGGACGTTACACGGACATGACAAGAAGGAACTTTTCTGAGCACAGTATAATATCCAATTTAGTGGATTACTTCACTCTTACGTAATATTGGACACGGTTGAATATCAACGGTTCAACGGTTCGAGGTAGCAGCACAGTTTGAGTATATCAAGTTTTGGTATACATTGTATACATTGTAACGGTGGCGAGAAGGGACGAAATGCTCGAATTGAGATTTAATTATATAATAAAGAAATCAATACTGGTTGCCTGGAACGTCAGTAAATGTGAACAAGGACGTTGCGGGGATGGGAGTAGATTTTACGATTTTCATTAGAACCCACGAAGAAGCGTGTCTTTTTATCGATACGCCTTATTTTAGGTTAAACGAGACGTAAACGCAGAATTCGCCGCGATAATGCGAAGCTGCGTGCGTGCGAGAATTCCGTATATATTTACGCCGTCAACAAATTCATCTCGTTACATGGGATTGCACGAATTGCAATGAAAATAACATTATTCCCATAGCGTGGGCGAGCGCGTAAGCGTATGCGTTACGTACGCTCCTGCTACACGGTATATCTATATATAAATATAAATAGATATACTATATACGTAAAGCGTATAGTCGTATAGCAATACACCTAGCAAGCGCTCCTAATCGATTTTCCCATTACACGAATTCAGGGTGTCGTCCCGCGTCGCCGTCTCTCGGCGTCGGGTGTGCATCTCCTAGTCATGAAAAAATTAAAGGGCGATACATGCAGGAAGGGTTGGAGAGGGAAGGACGGCAGACATGCACAAGGTCCCCCAGCAGACCCCACCCACTCCCACACAGCCCCGGCACAGTACTGTAGAACGAAGAAATGCACATTATGGTAGTCGGCTAGAAATTCACCCGTCCGCCACATATGAATTATCCATTGTCGGGCGCACCCTGGCAACACTTACGGGGCGGCCCGAAATCATTATACGACTGCAAAGTAAAAGAGGCTCCCCCTGCCGGGAGAGGGACGTTTCTTCAGAGTTCAGCCATAGAGGACTCTAGTTAACTAGCTGTACGAAGGCATGACTTTTCTCGTATATATATATATATACATAGTGGATGCTCAGGGCATATACGCGTATACGCAGGGATGACAAGGAGGAGGGTGGGGAGCGGCGGCGGGGGCGGAATGAAAACGAAAAGAGGAAAAAAGTAGGAATTTCAAAGAGGAAAGGAGAAGGGATAAGAAAATAAGAAGGAAGAGAAATAAAAAAAAAAAGGAGACCAGGACGAGCAGCGCGAAATAGTAGTGAGGGAAGGAAGGTGGGTTAGCGCGCTCAGTTTTTTCCCCAGGGGCGCGAGAGCCAAGGGTGCGTTGGATTCGGTTACTTGGTCTCACCCCATGGACCAGCTTCCACCACCAGCAAAGCCTCGAGCAACCTCTACCTCTAGCTCTAGCTTCGCCTCTTCCTCTTCCTCTTCCTCCGGGTCCTCTCGGCGTTCCTCAGCCACCCGCTCTACCCCACCCCCCGCGCACCCCTCCATGCGCCTCAGCAGCGGTGTACTTCTCGTTTTTTTAACGAAGGATCCGCTCAATACCTCGGCTGTCATAACCTCCCGGTCCACCCCATTCCCTTCTCCTAACCCAATACTACCCCTATTCTCCGTAGCTCCCACCAGGAGACTCCTGCCCTGTGCAGGGTCTCT